TTACAATCGGTGGCGGGATTCAGCCAGTTCACACCGCTTTGGGTGAACCGGTTGTTAACTTTCTGAGCAGTTTGGTGAACTGGTTGCTGGAAGAAATCAATAGGGCAGAGAACCGGTTGTTAAATTATTTGAATCCCACCGCTGCTTACAATCATCAACTGAGCCCAAAATTTTACTTACTAAGCGAGACAGTTAAGTAAGTTTTGCCCCATTTGCCACAGTTGTTAAGCCAATCGCTGTAGTTTTGTTATGTTAGTAACATGATTGTAAGATAAAACTGGCTTCCCCATTGACTTTGCTTGTCAGAAGGTTGCAAAAGGTGATCACATGACTCGGAGACACTGCAATGGTTATAAATACAAGTCTGTTTGCCAAGCACCTGAATTTTGATCACAAGAACGTGGGAATGCTGCAATGGTTATAAAGTGTAAAAAACGGTTATATATCACTTTTTTTCTTTTTTCTTTTTAAAAATATTTTATTGATATTCCAAAGTTTAAAAACATAAAATAAAACTAAATGCATTGTTATCAACATCAATACATCTTTTACATTTCCTTACATTTTTCAATATATGATTACTTATTCCATGACAACATTACAACTTACTCTTGAAACAAATCAATATATTTCGTCTTACACTTCAATCTTTTCTATAACATATATACATATTTACACACTTCCTCATTCTTTTCCTAATTGCCATTTTATTTTCTTTTTATTTCTAAACCACTCATACCAGACATACCAGGCTCTATAATATATTGAATCTTCTTTGTCTTTTAATTTCAACGTTAGCCTGTCCATCTCTAGAAAATCACTATATACATCATTTTTTCAGTGTGGTTTTAACTTTGATCATGAAATGAACTGTCGTATAGTAAGTTGAGGACTATCTATTACAAGATTCTATTAGATGTGACATCCTAAAAGATTGTTTGCAAGGTCTGAAAGCTCTGGAGAGGCACAGAGTATGAGATTAGTATAAACTGGATTTAACAATGTATTAAGAAAGATAATTAATGGAAGGTCATTAAGACCTGGTTCTTCCCCCAAGCACTGGGGCCTGATGGCAAATGAGCTTAGTATTTGTTTTCTTGTTATTGAGAGAGTACTGGTATGGCACTGGTGCTGTATTAATTTGAATTTTGTGTCTTTTATTTATATGTTTTGTCAGCTGCCTGAGGCTATTTTTATAAGGTAGCCATACGTACATATATTTTTTTTCCAAATGAATAAAACAACATTCCATTGTATATTCATTGTTCTCCCATTTTAGTTATGACCTAAATGAGAAGATAAAGGATGATTAGCTTGGAATAACTAATTAATTCCACCCATGTGGCACCTGATTTTCAAAACTTGTAGCATGAAATAAACTAGCCCATGTTGTTGTGGGAAAGCAGCTTTTCTCCTAGGTAAAGGGCAAAGGCAGCACATTGTTTCTTTCTAGGTAAGATAATGAAGCAGAAAGAAAAAAATAACAAAGGGTGTAAATTCATTTGTGGCAGACAATGTATTGGAAAATTAACATTGTTCTAGTGTAAAGAAAGTCCATGAATAAAACATAACAATGTGAGTGTTGATTCAAAATGCATTAGTTTATAAAAAAAAAAAGTCTGAAAGCAGCAGACCAAAGTGCCTTGCTCCGAGCAGATCATTTTGCAATGGGTTTCTCCCCCCCAAAAAACTGCTATTATGTTTTGAATTTAACTTACACGATTTTACTTGTTTTTATTTTTTTAACTTGCCAGTTATTTTTTTTTAATTTTGTTTAATGTCATCTACAATAGAGCATTTATCCTTACAAAGTAATTCGTGGTCTCTACACATATTTCTGACTGAGAACAGTATACAACGATAATAGAAAACCATTTCAAATATGTAGGTACATAATCATAGAGCTGGAAGGTGGCATTTGGGGTATGATTAGTGTGTATGTATTCAGTTTTAAACATCTATGACACATAGTTGTCTAGCTTCCACTTGAATAAATGGGAGGCTACAACATTTTAGGATAATTGGTTTTAATTGGTTCTTTTTCTGCTGAACTATTCTTTTCCTTCTTTTTTCTTTAACATTCAGCTGGAATGTTAAAGAAAAGCTGGAATCTGCTTTTCTTTAGCTTAAGTCCATTATTTTATGTCCTGGAATGATAGAAAAAGGTCTTGACCTTCTTTTGTGTGATATCTTTTCAGAGGAGAGAGCTAAAATAGGAATTAAGAAGTTTTGCTTTTTCTTTGTCACTGGTTAGCATTTTTGCTGCCTTCACTGGGCACCTTTTTTCTTTATTTTGAACGCATTGAAAGAAACCCTTTTTCCTGTACTTAGCATCTTTGCCAACTTCAGCTCATCATGAGGTTCAATTTTATTGATTTTTCTTTCTATAATTCCAGGAGACTCGGTGTACTAGGGTTTTTTCTTTCTTTCTTTCTTTCTTTCTTTCTTTCTTGTGAGACCTCATTCTTGCCATTCCCTAGTCTCCCAATATGTATGCCAGATCTTTATGCCTACTTTTATGTCATCCAACTGACTTCTGCTGTCTTCTATTGTACTCTCCATTGCAATAGTTTTAATTATCTTTTTAAATACCTTTAAATATCTTTTTAAAAAACCCTGCATACCATGAACTACTACTTCTTTTAGCTTCTCAAGCCATGGAATCCTTCTTAACATTCTTATTTAAATTTTTATTGAAATGTGATTTTTGAAGTTCAAAGTGTATGTTTAATTTCAATCAGCTTTTAAAAACATCAAAAATATTCTTATGTTAAGCTTGGCTTTGGGCAACTGCATAAATAATCTTTTTTTGGGCAATATTGCAGAAATGATTTCCCACTTACTACTTCCATGGAACCCTGGTGATAGAGTGGTTAAAGTACAATATTACAGGCAAACTCTGCCCATAGACTGGAGTTCAATACTGATGGGGCTCAAGGTTGACTCAGCCTTCCGTCCTTCCATCGATAAAATGAAAACTCAGATTTTTGGGGGCAATATGCAAATAATGCTTCCACATTGTAAATCAGCCAGATAGCACTATAGAGTGCTATGAAATCTAAATGCTAATGATTTTTTTTTCTTTTTAAATTGTTTTAGATATGTAGCCTTTGATATCTATTTTACACCCTAGGAGTGTCCAGGCACTTTCTCCATCCAAGTACTAGGCAGCTTTAGTTTCCTTTGAGATTCTTAACATTGTGGTGGGATATAAATGTGCTAAATAAATAAGTAAAATGAAGAACTGCAGAATTAAATGATCACTTTTTTCCAGCAGTCCTGTTATTTCCGTGTAGTTAAGGAAGTCTTTTGATTAGTGTCAAGTGAAGGGTAGCTTAACTTATGCCTTATGCCATTGTTTAAAAAGGAGATTGTCAGTAAGTTAGGAATGTCTTGAAAGTATCATATCTGGCAGAATTTGTTCCCCAACAGGTATTGAGGTAATAAAAGTCCTCAACCATTACTGTTTTGCCCCACTTTGAAAAACCTGCAAGTTAGTTTTGAAAGGCATCACCTTATCTTTTTCTTTGTTGAATAGATGATAGTAGACATTAATCATAACGTTGCTTATATTCGTTCCTCTACTTATTCACTCCTCAACTTTAACCCAGATATAGACTTTACACAATCACCACATTTAGTCACTAGAATTTTTGAGATGTGCACATTTTTACCATGCAGCACAACATCTTCATTACCTTTTAAATATATTGGATCCTATAATTATACCATTGTGATCATGGAAAATACACAATCCTTTTATCTGATCAATCTTCACCTTTTCTTATCAGCTGTGAGCTGAGAAGCCATTTGTTGCTCTAATCCCCTGACTTGTTTCAAATTTTCTCCTACTGTAAATATATATCAGAATGTTTCAGCTAGTAACACATATACATCCCTATCATTATTACAAAATCCTGTTTCCATTTTTACTTTTATTTCTTAAGACATGTGTTGTGAATCAATAAAAGTGTATAACCTAAATGCAAATTAGGGGTTGAAAACCTGCACACTTGATTGGTCCTTGTACAACAACTTGGGATTGGGCCAGAACCAGTCCCTGATTGGCCACTTTTGGGACTGTTCTTATTGGTTAGTAGTTTGAACGGATTGCACATTTTCATTGGTTAATAAGGCAGCAGCTAACCCTATAAAAGGGTTACTGCTGCCCATAGCATTGCTCTGTTTCATTCTGATTCCTGTTATTATTAAAGAGTTGAAGTCACTGGTCAGATGTCTGGTCTCCTTATTCTCCAAACTTAATACTGGAGACGAGGATGGGATACGGAGACCGAAGAGCTGACTAAACCTACAGAGCAACCTAAAGAGCACGTGGTTGATCACGCACCATCAACGGCAACATGGCCAGCGGTGCCGTACCACCCGCTCCATTCAACCCAGAAACCGAAGACTGGGAGGCCTACATGGATCGGTTCCAGATGTTTCTGGAGACCAACAATTTGAAAGATGCAACAACCGGGAAAAAAAGAGCTATCTTTCTAACTCACTGCGGGCCAACCGTGTTTAAGATGGCAAAATCACTTGCCAAGCCAGCAGAGGTAAAAGAAATGGACTGGGATGTTCTCGAGCCGCTACTAAGGGCTCACTACGCGCCTTCCGTGCCAACCCTAGTAAGAAGACACGAATATTACCAGAGGGACCAACAGAAGGGCGAAAGCCTTGCCAATTACATCGCGGACCTCCGGAACCTAGGAGGCCTCTGCGGATTTGCAGACCTAGAAGAAGCCCTCCGGGACCGCCTGGTTCTGGGCCTAGAAGACGGCACGATCCAGAGTAAAATTATGGCTAAGGGGGACATCAGCCTCACCGATGCCCTTAAAGAAGCCTCGGCAGCAGAGGCGACAAAGAAATCGGCAGCCCAAATGCGCCGCACCAACGCACCGCAACGTAAACTCGCTACTGATATCTCGCCTCGCTCAGAGAGACACCCGGTATCAACTCACCACGAAGACCTAGAGTCCCCGTCCGACAGCGATGAGGAAGAGGTCAACCGACTTCGAACGGAGAGAGACCAGTCCTCACCACACTCATTTCGACCGTGTGCCGGCTGTGGAGCAAATCACCCACGTTCCGGTTGCAAATTCCTGGACGCACTTTGCCACCATTGCGGGAGACGCGGTCACATCGCAAAGGTTTGCAGAAGCAAACAGAACTCCAAACCTCGACAGGCCGAATTCCAGTCTTCCGGATTCTTCGGCACACACCGAGAAAAAGTGAACCACTCCTACAGAAACAAACCGTCCACCACTTCCACCAGGCGTGAGGAAACCAGGCGGGAAGAAACCCACCAAACAATCACCATAGGCCACGCTACATCCCTGGATGCCGGGAAAATCCGAGTAAAGGTCGCCATCGAAAACAAACCTTGCGTGATGGAGGTAGACTCGGGATCTTCCCTCTTGATGGTGTCGTGGAAAACGCTCCAACAGCTCCTTCCAACGATTCGCCGCCAAGACCTTAACCCTCAAAGGGTTATACTCAAAGACTATCAGGGCAACCGAATCCCCGTCGTCGGGTCCCGCAGATTCCAGGTCTCATTCAAGGACCGCACCGTCGCACTACCACTGACTGTGGTGGATCGCGACAGGCCTAGTCTTCTAGGCCTCCAATGGTTCAGGCCGCTCGGAATCACTGTAGCCGGAGTCCACAAGGCCGAAAGCGTCGATTGGGAGGAAGACCTCGTGCAAGAATTCAAAGACGTTTTCGCGAACGGACTAGGCAAGTATAAGGGGACCCCAATCTCGTTTAACTTGAACCCTGAAATAGCACCCATCCGCCTTAAGCCGCGTCGGGTGCCGTTCGCCTTAAAGCCTAAAATCGACGAACAACTCGATAAGCTGATAGCGCAGGGTGTACTGGAACCCACCGACCACGCCCGTTGGGAAACCCCGATAGTGACGCCTATCAAGCCTGATGGGTCCCTAAGAATTTGCGGAGACTACCGGGCCACATTAAACCACACACTGCAGCAAAGTGCTTATCCAGTACCGGTAGTGCAACACTTACTCCATTCTCTGGGCGGCGGGAAAGTTTTCGCCAAACTAGATTTAGCCCAGGCATATCAACAATTGCCTGTAGACCCAACCACAGCCGAGGCGCAAACGATCGTAACACATAGGGGCGCATTTAAATGCAACCGGCTACAATTCGGAGTAAGCGTCGCCCCTGGAATCTTCCAGAGTTTAATGGAAAGGTTGTTACAAGGGATAAAAGGCGTTGTCCCATATTTCGACGATGTACTCATCGCCGCACCTAACAAAGACACCCTAGAAAAACGACTCAGAGAGGTTTTACGAAGATTCCAAAATGCAGGCCTCAGAGTAAAAAAAAGATAAATGCCGCTTATGTACCGAAAAAGTAGAATTTTTGGGATACCTCCTGGACAGCCAAGGAATTCATCCCACCGAAGACAAATTACGGGCAATTAAAAAGGCACCCACTCCGAGGAACAAGGCAGACCTACAGGTGTTCCTTGGACTTATCAATTTCTATAATGTGTTCTTACCCCACAAAGCAACAGTAGCTGAACCATTGCATAGACTATTAGACAAAAAAGCAATGTGGGTTTGGGGACAACGGGAACAACATGCTTTCCAACAAGTAAAGAAATTGCTAACTTCTGATTCAGTACTTATGCAGTACAACGAGACTCTGCCGCTCACTATCACGTGTGATGCATCACCTTTTGGGGTTGGGGCAATTCTGGCCCACGTGTTACCAAACGGAGCGGAAGCCCCCATCGCGTTTTTTTCGCGAACCTTAGCTAAAGCTGAACGCAATTATAGTCAGCTGGACAAGGAAGCTTTAGCTATTGTTGCTGCAGTTAAAAGATTTCACGAATATGTTTATGGCCGTGCCTTTACAATAATCACTGATCATAAACCGCTACTGGGGATCATTGCGGGTAATAAACCAACCCCGTATATATTGTCCCCCAGAATGACCCGTTGGTCTGAATTCCTGGCGGCCTACAACTACACTTTGCAGCACCGCCCGGGGAAATCGATTCTCCACGCCGATGCATTGAGCAGAACACCGCTTCCAGACGCTGTTGTGGATCCAGCCCCAACCCTCTCAACACTACAGATTGAAACTCTACAGGCACCACCCTTGACGGCTAGAGACATTGCTTTTGAAACGAAACGTGACCCAGTTCTGCAACACATACTACGCTGGGTTGAACGGGGGTGGCCGATGGACCAAATTGCACCTGAATGGGCGCCCTTCAAAGCCCACCAAACCGAGCTGCTTTCCCAAAAAGGCTGCATCTTGTGGGGCGATCGAGTCGTAATCCCTACCAAATTGCAACAGACTGTGCTGGCAGTATTGCATGAGGGACATCCGGGCATTGTGCGGATGAAATCACTCGCACGCAGCTACGCTTGGTGGCCGGGAATCGACAAAAGAATCGAGGCCTGGGTCGCTACGTGCCAACGTTGCCAGGACGTCAGCAACGCCCCACCGAAAGCAAGCCCAATCGACTGGGAAACACCGAGGGGACCGTGGTTTGACTTTGTGGGGCCTACCAAAGGTCACACTTTCCTGATTACTGTCGACGCCTATTCCAACTGGCTCGAAATTCATCGAATGCACACAACTACAACCGACTCAGTTATTAATAAATTAAACAGACTATTTGCCACGCACGGATTTCCGGACGTGTTGGTCTCGGACAACGGCCCGCAGTTCACGGCATTGCCTTTTGAACAATATCTGGCTGATCGGGGCATCCGCCATGCGCTGACCTCGCCCACGCACCCTGCGGCGAATGGACGTGCAGAACGCATGGTACAATTTGTGAAAAAGACCCTGCATAAAATGGAATTTGGAAACATCGACGAGAAAATCAATCGAATCCTGTTATTGCAGCACATCACGCCCCACAGCGTAACCAACAAAACACCCACTGAACTTCTTATGGGGCGGAAAATACGATCGCACCTTGACTGGCTCCACCCCGCTTTCGCACCAGAAAAACCTGTTGGCTCCAGCAGCAAATGCCGGGAATTTAAGGTAGGCGATTTAATCTTTGCCAAAAACTTTTCCGGCGACCCGTTATGGATACCCGCAACCGTTACCCACCTCACCGGGCCTAGATCGTACCGCCTGCTAACAGACGATAGGAGAGTGTGGAAACGCCACATAGACCAACTCCGATCGAGATTATCACCCAGCGGCCATGACTTCCCCGGTTCAAAAACTCAAGGGGGAGGGAGTATCGAGGGAATTGACTTTGATACAACTAATAGCGGGTCAACGGGAGCCCTACAGCCCAGCGAAGCACCGGAACGTGAAGCG